TTTACTTTGCTTTGTTTGCTCCGGAGCTTCAGACTGAGACCAGAGAGAGAGACAGAGAGAGAGAGAGAGAGAGAGAGAAAGAGAGAGAGAGAGAGAGAGAGAGAGAGAGACGACCAGAGACGACCAGAGACACTCAACAGAACGTTATAAAGCAGCTATACTGCACAATTAACTAGTTCATAACTGTGTAATAACGCCGACAGAGATGCCGTCCGACAGACCCTTCAAACAAAGGAGGACATTTGGTGAGAAAAAACACCTCAGAGGCGGCGTTTTGTTTTAAGCTAGGAAAGCTAGATAGCATGCTAGGTAGTTAGCCGGCCTGCTAGCCACCTAGCATGTCCGTTGACAAGTGTAGTTACATGGTGTTTACTTGTGTGTTGTGTTTGTTGTAGCCGTTACAAAGCTATGTTTGTATAGCTCAGATTGTTAACAACATGGGACAGAAGCTCAAGAAGTCAAGTTTAGAAAAGAGTCGTTATTTTGGTGCTAAAATATGTTAAATATCAGATAAATGACAGTATTTGTTGTCCTGTTGTTGATCTCTTTTGGCTGCTAATGTCTAAAAGCCTTCTGGGTCACTGTCACATTAGCCTTGAAGCTACTAAGGCCATAACCAACTTGTTCTGGGTAAGCTAGCTGGGCTATGCTATGCTAGCAGTAGTGTCCGCTTTAAAAGGAAAACAAGTTGTGCTGACACATTATCTCGGTACACGTGTTGACTGATTCATGTTGTAACTTGATGCTGAAGGACGGCCCTCTGCTGTGCAGGAGGAGCTCACACGCTCTGTTGCATAATCTGCTTATTCACAGAAATGAGGGATAAGAATGTGTTGTTGTGTTCGGTTATAACCTGTTTATAAAGTCCCCTCAGGCTACACACCAGAGATGATCGTCATGTTTTATAGTGATTATCTAGACCAGTACTGGGTCTGTTGACCTGTTTCCCTTCTGTGTCACACTGACACACATCACCAGGGTATTGCATAACAAAGGAACAGATGTCATGTTAACTAGTTGGGTTCTTCAGTTTAATATTAGTAGTTGGGTACAAAGTATGCTGTAAACAAAGGGTTGCCGGGCCTGTTCACAGCTTAATACACCGTTACACACTGTTAGGACGCGGGATGAGTCTGAACCTAAAGTACGACATTCCCTTTGTGATTATAAGCAGGAGTAAAAGAGCCGGTAATGAAAGAAGTACTTTTTAAAAGAAGCAGATGCTCAAGAAATGAACGGGACATTGACTGTTTTGATGCAAAGCCAGAAAGAGAATTGGATTATGTAATTTGTGATAGCTTTTAAATTAGATCTAGCCTGAACCAACAGTATCTTTAGATGCATATTCTAACACGTAGACTCTTCCCTCAGCCTAAAACAAAGAGTCCTTTCACCGTCGCTCCTCAAAACCATCTGAGCTCTGAACCCGGCCGGGGATTTAAATTTAAACAAGCAGCTCATGTTTCCTGAAATACGTCTTTTCTTCCAGAGAGAAGAGTCTGCTGTGAACTAAGCGAGGAGGTTGAAAACATTACAAAGTGAAAGAGACTAAAGCTGCAGAAGAAAAGAGATGTTGACTAACAAATGATATGCAAAGTAGTAGATATGTAAATGAAGTCCACAGAGAGAATGAAGACATTCATTTGTAACACAGTTAAGCCAGTAAAATAATAACAGTTAAAGTTATAAAGACACAATATGTAGATTTATAATGTAGGAGCTAGAGTCTCTGGCTATCGCACCATTAGAGAGAGATTCTGGATTCAATTAAAGACGATTCTTGACTCAATGAATAGAAAGCGTGCCGTTATATTCTGACTGTTCACACCGTGACAAAGCAGTGACATCACTGACCGTGAACTCTTCATCGTCTCACAACATCAACTCAAAATCAATGGCTTTTATCTGCCGGTTCATTAGTTCATCGAAACGTTCAGTTTGTCACTTCCTGTTCTGACAGAAACAAAACTCAGCGCCAGAAATTCATGAATTAATCACGAGGAAGGATTATTGTTTATTTACGTGACGCATATGCTTTTGTTTTCTTTAGGCTGAAATTAGTCTCACTTAGAGTACAGTAAGAATACATTCCTCATCCTGAACTAAAGTAACCAGAACCAGACTGTACGTCATAGCTTCGTGTCTGGTAAAGAGGAGTTCTACTTTCATTTAAATGTGAGCTCCTTGTTGATGAACTCTCATCTTTTGTTGCCCACAGCTGACCGGTGCAAAGAGGTCCAGCAGATCCGGGATCAGCACCCCAACAAGATCCCCGTAAGCTGCTTATTCCAACTCCTCCACCTCGCTGCTCTGTGACGCTGGAGATCAATATTCAGATTAATGTTCATTTATGTTCATGTACATGTGCCGTAGTCAAGCCTCCTGAATGACACGTACCGGTTGTTACTGAGGCAGTATTCAGTCTCAGATGTGAGATCAGTTTATTAGTTTATTAGATATATTAGTTCAATATCGACCGTGTTATAATAATCAAATATTAGTCTGTGTTGTACTTCCAGAAATTAAGACGAGGGTTTGATTCTACCTCTTTAATCTGTAATAAAGTCTTATTCACGCTGTCGTAACGTATCAGTACTTTGACAATGTGCTGATTCACTTTCTGGCAGAGAGATAAATTACATTTAATGCACTCGTTTATTTATTTATTTTGAATTGTATGCATTCATTTGACAGGAACAGAGCACGTTAATGAACATTAGTATAACATAAAGATGTAAACATGCCGGAGTTAGCATACATGCTAATGTTCATCCGTAGTCCCTCAGCGGGGAACAAGAACATTACAGGTGACGATGTACAGATAATAATGTGAAATACACACGTAAACAGGACAAAGATACATTATACTACAAGTCAGACTGTGTGTACAGTAAATATACAGCTACCGGTTAGCTTAGCTTAGCATAAAGACTGCAAACAGAGATCCTGGTTCTATCAAAGGATGATAAACTAGATGTTTGATCACAATGTTAACCTTTTATTTTACTTTTAGTACATACTGCATCTGCCCTAACAAAGTGCACGCTGTGGCATGAAGCATGTATTCATGTAGGATTCACTGCTTCATGCCAGAGTGACTCACAGAGCGTTGTGTTCGCTGCAGGTGATCATCGAGAGATACAAGGGAGAGAAGCAGCTGCCCGTCCTGGACAAAACCAAGTTCCTGGTACCGGACCACGTCAACATGAGCGAGCTGGTCAAGATCATCAGGTACGCATACACACACACACATACACACATACGCACACACACACACATACATACACACACATACACGTAAACACACGTAAACACACATACACACACATACACGTAAACACACACACACACATACAAATACACACACATACACGTAAACACACACACACATACACACACGTAAACACACACACACACATACACACACACACACACACACACACACACACACACACACACACACACA